CATCGGGCTCCCTGCTCAGCGGGGAGTCTGCTTCTCCCTCTGACCCTCCCCCTCTCATGCTCTCTCTGTGCCTCATTCTTTCTCTCTCAAATAAATAAATAAAATCTTTAAAAAAAAAAAAAAGGATGCTTATATTCTACAACTCTTTTGATGGGGGGCAGTAGAAAGAGGTGAGATTGGAAAATGTACATTAAGCGATACATAATTCCGGGTTTTCTGAGTTTTATTGATTTTCAAAAGTTAGTTTCAGGATTGACATTGATGTTACTATTCTATCTAGTTTGTAGGGACATTGTAAAGCTATTGAAGAATTCTATAAAATTCTTAGGAAAACTGCTATAAAATATAAAGGTTATTTATATTTCTGTGTACCTAAAATACTTTGTTCTTACCTTAATTACTGCACCCACCATACTGCATTCTTAGCACTTCTCCACTCTCTCTATCTCTACCAGAAGGTGGGTTTCTCCAAGACAGGGACGTAGTCTTCACCACGGTATCCATAGTAACCTGGACAGTGCCTGAAATATAATGTTTAGTAAATGCTTATAGAAAAAACAACAAAAGGATTCATCTTTCTAATCCCAGTTTCCTTATTTCTGAAATGAAAAGATAGTAATACTCTCCTAGATCCCTTGTCAGGACTGTCATGACATATGCTCAAATACTGTTTATTGGAGCTATAAGCCACAGACATAAAAGGTGTTATTGTGATAATTACTAAGGGAGTAATTATTTTACCTAACATAAATTTTTTATTCTGGCTAAAATCTTTTTTAAAGATCTAATACATTTCAGGAAAGAGAGGTAGGGTATTTTAGGTAATATGTGGTAGTAATTTCCATCCTTGGGCTCTAGAGTTGAAGGAAAAGAAGTACCTACACCAGAGATAAGAACAATCTTTCACTAGGTGGCTCTCTTTTCCGTGAGTGGGTGGCGCGTTGGTGCAGCGAGGGATGACAGGGGTCATTGCACGGCTGCAATCCCCACGCTTCACACATCACAGTAGGCTGTGGCAGCAGGAGGCGCAGGGCAGAGTTCAAGTTCTGTTTCGTTAATGATAATCTATTCTTGGGATTTATTTCAGAGTAGCCTGTACTTTCGTTTCCTCCAAACGTATACGTGATGTTCCAAACAGACATTGGTCTAGTCTTGTTATAGGTGTGGTCTCAGGGAAGGATCTTGAAAAGTGCCTCTTTACCTAGCATGGAAACAGCATTAACTATCTAGTGAGGGCTGCATTCCGGGGGTGGGTTATAAGTTATACATCTACTAAAGTACTTGGGTGCTGCTACGTAAAGGACGCCACAATACAAAGTGAAAATATAATTTGTAAAATGTCAAACAAGTCCTTTAGACCATGAGAAAGACCATTTCTCCAGCTACTTCTCACACTCCATAGTATTATTGATCCCATTCTTTATTTCTGGTTTTTAGCCCCAAACCTGACACAAAATACACCTAATACTTTCAAAAAGATTTGTTCTAAGAATGAAAATCCTTTTCCTAGGTGCCTTTCATGGGTAGTTCGCGCCAGTATCTAGGTTCTTGTCGATAGTATTTTACCCAACATTTTCCTCTCAGACCCAAAAGATACAGAGTTCTAAAACACTGTGGACCCATCAGAGAAGTCTGCAGAGGGAGGAACTCAGGTCGGCCTTTAACAATCAAGTGGGACCCCCACTGGGGGGTGCCTCTGAGACGGATGACAGTCGTGGGCGTCTCACCACGTCCCTGGCTCTAAATGCTGGAAAACCATTTGTCAAGTCTCCTAGGATATGTTCCCACACTTACTCTGGCGGCCTCCCGGCAGCAGGAGGTGACTCGGTCGCCGCCAAGGGCGTGTGCGGGCGGCAGTCGGGGGATTTCGGTAAGGGGTCGACCCGCCAGGAAAAGTCTGAGGTCCCTGCCCGGCAGGAGAGGAATCTGGGTCGTCGTGTGCCGTTCTCCTCCCTCAGGGACCCCGTCCTGGCGGGATCCCGCCTCTCCGAGCCCGAGGCAGTCCTGGGGAAACCCCTCGCCAGCCTCACAGCTTCCCGCCGCCACCTCGCCCGGCCGCCTCGCCCTCCATGCTCCAGACAGCAGCTCGCCAGCCTTCAGGCCCGGCGTCTTCCTCGCAGGCCCGGCCCTCTCCACGCCCCGCACTGAGAGGAAACTGGAGGTGGTTCCCGCCCGCAGGCGGGTGGAAAAGCCCACGGTGAATGCCTCGGGGTCCCCCCATTGTTGCGGGAAAGGGAAAGGGAAGAGGAAATGAACTTCACTGCCCAGGAGATCACTCGGATTCCCAACCTGGGGGAGGCTTTTAGACGGAAGGGAAGCCAAGGGGGAACTCTGGGCACTTTCCCGGGAATCCATTCGCCAAGGGAGGGTCCCCCAGTCCGCACACATTGGTTACTATGACAATACAACCACAGCCTCCAGTTGCCATGGCAGCTGCTTATCCAATCCGATTGGTTTCCTTTCTCTTCCTCCCTGGGCTCCACCCCATCCCCTTCAACAGTCTCCAGGCGTGCAGGAGGAGGGGCCCCAGAAAGGGGGAGGGGGTCCTTAGCATCACTCTCTGGGGCGCGAGGGAAGACTAGAGTTGAGGGACTGGCGGGCGGAACTGTAAGAGAAAGGGGCAGCGTTTCCGGTAGGGAAGAGTGGAGGAGTGGAAAAAGGAAGAGAGAAATCGGGTGGAGTGGAAAGACGGGGGAAGACTTTGAGTGTAACTCCTGGTTAATTTGGGCTCGATGTTCCCGGTGAGGCTGGGGTTGCCCCCTCGCGCGGGAGAGGGGTGGATTGGCCGGAAGCCGCCAAACGCCTCCAGCAGGCCGCTCAGCAGCCTCACAGGCGCCACACAGCTAGCCGATCCCAAGAGGGAGCGCCACAGAGAGGCAGAAGTCACCCGGAGGGACGGGCGCCACTGAAATCTCGCGAGAGGGACCCCCACTTCCTTCCTCTGCTTCTCCCTCCTCTTTCCCCCCGCCCCTTTCCCTTCTCCCTCCCCCTCCCCCCTCCCGGGTCGGAGTGTCCCTGCGCCCCACGGGCCAGAGCAGCCGCGAGAGCAGCTTTCCCCGCTCCCTCCCCCTCGCCTCACTCACCCCCACCCCCCCGCCGAGCGAGGAGGAGCCGGAGGAAAGGAAGATGGCGGCGGCCGCCAGCACCCGCGGTGCCGCGGGGCCGCTTCGAGGAGCCTGAGAGACCCACAGAGGCTTCGCGGGAAGACGCGGCGGCGGAGGATGAGCCTGCAGAGCGCGCAGTATCTCCGGTGAGTGCAGAGGTCGCCCCTGTACGTGGGGGGAGCTGGTCGAGGGTTGGGGTACGGAGCAGCAGACACAGAGGTGGTGTGTCGGGGTGGCGGGGGAGTTGCTGTGTCCTCTTCTTCCCCGGCGGGGAGGCGGGGGCTGCGAGGGGATCCGCGGGAGGGGGCGGGGCGGGCACACTCTCGGGTGCCTAGCCCCGGCGGGCCGGGCTGAGTTCCAGCGTAGCCAGCTAGTCCTGGTGCCGGGAAGGAGGTTAGGGAAGCGTGAGAATGTGTGTGTGTGCGCGCGCCCCCGGGGGTCGCAGGCTCGCTGGGGGGGGGGGGCGGCGGCGGCGACCCCGAGTGGAGGTGGGTGTGGAGTCTGATCCGGGTGGTGGGGGTAACGTTGTGTGGTGTGGGATTGGTTGGGGCGATGCATGCGGAGAGGACGAGGTGGAAGTCTGCACACCTGGGGGAGGGGGGCGAGGACGGAGGACTAGAGGAGAGGGAGACCGCTGGGAACCCGAGTTTGTTCTTTATTCTCGGGTTGAAAGTGCTGAGGAAAAATGTCATCTGTAGTTAGTTGGCGGGGTAGGGGTGGGAGCATAAAGAGGGGGGAATGGATGAGGAAGTGAGGGAAGAGGGAGGTACTATGGACGGTGTTGGGTTCCCCAGAAGAAACTGAGTTAGAATTAGTGTAGTCGGAAGATACCATTCTGAGAGTCGTGTGCATTCATTAAGAGTGGTGTAAGGAACTTGTATGTCGGTGGTAGAGTGACGCATGGATCCAGAGCTCTGTGTGCGAGTTATGTGATGTGTGTCTGGGGTGGTGTAAAGGGAGCCACTGATAAACATTTTAGGAAGGGTAAGATAGATACTTTGGATCCAAGTATGTGATGGTGAGAGCATATTGAATGGAAAGAGACCAGCGATTGTGCAGCCAGGAAGATTCCATGGAAGCAGAATAAAAGCTTGGAGGTAGAAGTAAAAGAGGGTCGAAATCTTGATGGCAGAGAAATTTAAGGTTGTTAGAGACTGAGATTAATTGGAGAGTTGCTACTTCTTAGAAAAGGGGAAGGAAGACCTTAAAAGGGATCCTTTTTGTCTTTCAGGAGCAGAACTAAGGCAGGCTTATGGGAAGATCTTTTAAAAAAACGGTTTCATACCTTGTAGAGGAGGGAACTGGATGGGACAGAAGTCTGAAATGAGCAGAAGCATCACTTTAGCTGTTTAGTGAAGTGAAAGTATTGATGTGTGATTGGCTTTATGCATATTACAAGAGAAGGTAGGTAGTAAGTGATATAGGAGAGTGAGTGGCTATTCTACTTATGAAAGTAGTAATAGTTTCATTAAACAGAGTGTGGAGAGAGTAGTGATGAGATCTTTGAATTATGGTTGAATGCTCGAGTTTAACAGTGACAGGATCCACACAACGTGTGTGCTCAATGACTATAGGGTAGTTGGAATGTTATCTATCACAGTCCTTTTTCTCCACTATTATCCTTTTATTGTTTAACATATCAGATGAACTTAATAAATAAAACTGTGGGAAAGATCTATGGTAGATGTTGTAGAGGGAGCTTATGGGACTCATTAGGCTAGTACTTAATTTTAAGGAATTTGCAGTTTAGTTTATTAGGCAAGTAAATTAATAACAGCACAGAGTAAACTATGACAGGTATCAAAAAGATGCCAAGTGTTTTAAGAGTCTGAAGGCAGAATATTACCTGAGCAATTGGGGGAAATCAGGAAAAGCTTCCTTTGTTCATTTGCTCATTCATACACTCATGATTCATCAGTCATTTTGTTGATCACCTATATGGGAGGTATTGTCCCAACTGCTGAGAATAGAAAAAAACTCCACCCTCTTCTTACAGAGTTTACAGTTTGTTAGGTTTCAAGGAGAAAATGGCACTTAAAATGGACCTTTAAGGATAAGCAAAATTCTGACAGGTGTGGATTGAGAATGGGGAATCCAATGGAAGGAGACTGAGCAGAGATACGAAGATAGGAAGGATGGGGGCCAGGGAAGATGTCTAGTCTAGTTAAACAAGAATATAGGATGATGCAGCTGGAAAAACTTATATAGATTTTTTTATAGATGAAGTTCGACCTCTTCCTTTTACAGATGAAGAAAGTATAGTACAAAGAAGTAAAAATTGTTGAGGACCATATAGCTGGTATGTGGAAGCTCTGTAGGTCTTCTAACTCCATATCAGCCATACTGTGTGACATGTCTGGGTTCATCCATTCTTTCCACAAATATGTATTGAGAGCTAAGTATATACCAGTTACTCTTGTAGGTGCTGGGGATACAATGGTGAACAAAAGAGTGAACATAGAAAGACATATTCTGGTAGAATTCTGCAATCAATAAACATATGAACAGATAAGTTTGTCAGGTGGTGACCATTAGGAGGAAAAGGCAAGGTATGGATATCTTGTTTTATATAGACAGGGTGATCAAGGAAAGCCTATTAGGTAAGGTGCCCATATTTGAGAGGGTCTTAAATCATGATCTGTAGTTTATAGTTAAAATGGATGAACAGTGGAGAATCTGAGATGCTTTGTTTAGAAGAGCATTCACATGCTCATTGATAGGTATTAGGGAGGTCAATCTGTGTAATGTAGTAATGGGCAGTTAGGACCAGAAATAAGGTGGTGGAAAAGAAAGGTACGAAAAGCAGACTGGAAGAGTGGTGATAATTTTAATGGGAAGACTGGTTGGCTTTGAGAGGCTTCTGTATTAATGGTAGGTTGTGGAATCACTGGTAGAGCACTTGAGATGATTTGAGTTCTTTGAAGAAGGGAGAAAAGATTAACAATGAAAACCATGTTTAAATAACTTATATATTCCAGCTGAAGTTGAGTAAGCAAAATTGAACAGACGTAGGACCTTGAGTCCCTTAAGGATTCCTGGGAGCCAGTCTTTTCTCAGTCTTGTACATCTATTCTAAGTAAATAAAGCGAGTCTTAGGGCTAATAGTAGTCTGGGACTTAGAGGGTAACGGGTAATAAAGACTTGCACCAACCCAGATTTCCCCTTTCCTCTTCAGATAATCATTCTATTTAAAATCGCTGTCAGGAGGCTAGAGAATGTCTTCAGGGAAGCATCATGTTCACTTTCTTTTCTTTGTAGGAAACCGAACCTTTGATTTTTAGACAACTCGGGAAGGATGCTAGGTATTGCTGAACATGTGGGGTTTGGGATATAGCAATTATTCTTTGTGACCTTGACTTTCAGGAGAGTTTTGTTGCCTACCTTTCTCAATGGTATAAGACCATGACTGGGCAATTTTTATACTGCATAGCTACAGATCTTTTTGTGTAGATGAAAATTAGCATTGTATCAGCTGAATTAATTTGTTAGAGTAAATGAGCTGGGGTGTCTGGCATTGAAATGGTAAGATTAACAATGAAAACCATGTTTAAATAACTTATATTTTCCAGCTGAAGTTGAGTAAGCAAAATTGAACAGACATAGGACCAGACTTTAAGATGGCAGTTTCAGAAGAGTGAGGTATGAGGTTATGAAGTAAAAAGCATCAGTAAGATGAAGATAGAGGGAATTCAAAATCAAGTGGACTGAATTACTCTTGAGTTGTAGAAATAGAGCAGAGATGAAAGGAAAGAAAACCTATCTTCTGCTTGGGAAAGAAGGTGATGTTCTAGGCAAGACATGATGGACATTTTTTTTTTTTTTGGAGGAGAAGTGTCTTTTTAATTTTTTTGAGAAGTGTCGTATTTTTAAATAGATTGACAAGACTCCTATCCAAATGAATAAATTGAGAATACTTTCCTACATTTTATAAAAATAAGAAATGGTTTTAAATATGAGGGTCCTAGACTGAATATCGTTGGAAATTTATTACTCAAATCGAAGAAAATTTCAGTGTTTTCTCTTT